GAGTGTGGGTTTAGACCCCTTGCGGCCGCTGAGTGTGGATTTAGATCCCTTTCGGCCGCTGAGTGTGGGTTTAGACCCCCTGGCGGCCGCTGAGTGTGGATTTAGACCCCCTGGCGGCCGCTGAGTGTGGATTTAGACCCCTGGCGGCCGCCGAGTGTGGGTTTAGACCCCCTGGCGGCCGCCGAGTGTGGATTTAGACCCCTGGCGGCCGCTGAGTGTGGGTTTAGACCCCCTGGCGGCCGCCGAGTGTGGGTTTAGACCCCTGGCGGCCGCTGAGTGTGGGTTTAGACCCCCTGGCGGCCGCCGAGTGTGGGTTTAGACCCCCTCGCGGCCGCTGAGTGTGGATTTAGACCCCCTGGCGGCCGCTGAGTGTGGATTTAGACCCCTCGCGGCCGCTGAGTGTGGATTTAGATCCCTCGCGGCCACTGAGTGTGGATTTAGATCCCTCGCGGCCGCTGAGTGTGGATTTAGACCCCCTGGGGGCCGCTGAGTGTGGATTTAGACCCCTCACGGCCGCTGAGTGTGGATTTAGCTCCCTCGGGGCCGCTGAGGGTGGGTTTAGATCCCTCGCGGCCGCTGAGTGTGGATTTAGACCCCCTGGCGGCCGCTGAGTGTGGATTTAGACCCCTGGCGGCCGCTGAGTGTGGGTTTAGACCCCCTGGCGGCCGCCGAGTGTGGGTTTAGACCCCCTCGCGGCCGCTGAGTGTGGATTTAGACCCCCTGGCGGCTGCTGAGTGTGGATTTAGACCCCTCGCGGCCGCTGAGTGTGGATTTAGATCCCTCGCGGCCACTGAGTGTGGATTTAGATCCCTCGCGGCCGCTGAGTGTGGATTTAGACCCCCTGGTGGCCGCTGAGTGTGGATTTAGACCCCTCACGGCCGCTGAGTGTGGATTTAGATCCCTCGTGGCCGCTGAGTGTGGGTTTAGATCCCTCGCGGCCGCTGAGTGTGGATTTAGACCCCCTGGTGGCCGCTGAGTGTGGATTTAGACCCCTCGCGGCCGCTGAGTGTGGATTTAGATCCCTCGCGGCCGCTGAGTGTGGATTTAGATCCCTCTCGGCCGCTGAGTGTGGATTTAGACCCACTGGCGGTCGCTGAGTGTGGGTTTAGACCCCCTGGCGGCCGCTGAGTGTGGGTTTAGACCCCCTGGCGGCCGCTGAGTGTGGGTTTAGAACCCCTGGCGGCCGCTGAGTGTGGGTTTAGACCCCCTGGCGGCCGCTGAGTGTGGGTTTAGACCCCCTGGCGGCCGCTGAGTGTGGGTTTAGATCCCCTGGCGGCCGCTGAGTGTGGGTTTAGACCCCCTGGCGGCCGCTGAGTGTGGATTTAGATCCCTCGCGGCCGCTGAGTGTGGGTTTAGATCCCCTGGCGGCCGCTGAGTGTGGGTTTAGACCCCTCGTGGACGCTGAGTGTGGGTTTAGACCCCCTGGCGGCCGCTGAGTGTGGGTTTAGGCCCCTCGTGGCCGCTGAGTGTGGATTCAGGCCTCCTCGCGGCCGCTGAGTGTGGGTTCAGGCCCCTTTTGGCTGTTGGTGAATTTGTTGCACTCGTTGTCTCCACCCCGGGCTGCAGTGAAGGAGAACGGACCTGGCCCGGAACGGCTTGGCGCCTTGGCACATGGCCGTTTGCGGGAGCATCTGATGCCCGCTGTCCGCTTGGCCGCCCACCTGGACACGTGTCCCCTCTCCTTTGGAAGCGAACGCAGGAAAAGACGACTTTGGGCATTTACGATTGTTGGCATCTGAGCAGATCGGCCCCATTAGTGAAGCTGTCATTTGCCAAGAACATGGATGGACACACAAGACGAGGGACAGGCTCCGTCCCGCAGGCCGGGTCGCCCGCCCGTCTGAGAGAATCCGCATCCTCCTCGCTCCTCCCCAGCCGGCCCCCCGCCCCCGCCCCCGCCCTGGGGGGTTTCTCCTCCTTCCGTTCCAGCAAAGACAAGCCGGGTTTGCGTCACCCCGGCCGCGCTTCCGGATGACCGACGGCTTCTCCCGCAGGATCATCAGCGCTGCAGCCCCGGAGTCCCCACGCAGGAGAGCGGGCGGCGCTGTTCTAACCGGAAGCCCCGCGCACCTGCCCCCTCGAGGCTGGCTGCTCGGCTTCTAGGCCCTTTCGTGTGTGTTTTGTTTCATCGAGGGCAGTAACCGCCTGCCGGCCTCGCTGAAGGGGGTCTGTGCTCAGAAATCCACGGCTGCGTTCGTCTGGAGGAGGAGCAGGCGTGTCAGCGGCGCCTGCGGCCCTTTAGGCTGGTTCTGACGTTTCTCCCACCCCCGTCCCTCCGGCGTTTCTCTGGCCCTCGCTGCTGGCAGCTCCGCTCCCGGAGGCGCTGGCCGTCCCCAGCCCGGGCCTCGTCGGCTTTTGCTGAGGACGAGGTCGGGAACCCGGGCCCTTTTCTGCAGGTCTTACCGTCCGCCTCCCGCGCTCCGGCTCTGCCGCGGCTGCCGTCGGGCTGGGCTGGGCGGGGCTGGATAGGGCTGGACGAGGCCAGCGGGGGGTGGGGAGGGTGTGGGGGGGCCTGGGGGGGTCCTGCGCGGCTGTAGGAAAACCTCACCAGCCACGGCCGATGAGGTCTCGGGTGCGTGGGGCTCTGGTCTGGGCGGGCGACGAACTGCCCTGCGGTTTACGAGTCACTTTGCTTTCCCTGCCTTCTCTGCACGTGGGCGGGGAGGACAGAAGCGCCCAACGTAGCACCCACCCAACCTGTCCCCCCAGGGAGCCCGAGCGGTTAGCACAGGGTCACCCGGCCCCTATGGGAGGTCACCCGGCCCCTATGGGAGGTCACCCGGCCCCTATGGGAGGTCCCCCGGCCCCTATGGGGAGGTCACCCGGCCCCTATGGGAGGTCACCCGGCCCCTATGGGGAGGTCACCCGGCCCCTATGGGAGGTCACCCGGCCCCTATGGGAGGTCACCCGGCCCCTATGGGGAGGTCACCCGGCCCCTATGGGAGGTCCCCCGGCCCGTATGGGGAGGTCACCCGGCCCCTATGGGAGGTCACCCGGCCCCTATGGGAGGTCACCCGGCCCCTAGGGGAGGTCACCCGGCCCCTATGGGGAGGTCACCCGGCCCCTATGGGGAGGTCACCTGGCCCCTGTGGGAGGTCACCCGGCCGGCATGGAGCATGGGGCAGTTGGGAGCCGGTCCGGCTGTCTCCATCTCCCCCCTCTCTTGGCCGCTGGTGGCTGGAGCAGCCCCTCCTGTTTCACTGACCGGCTTCCCTGTGGGGTCTGGGCAGGGGCTGGAGCCACTGCTACGGATGGGGAGACTGAGGCACAGTGGGCGGGGCTGGCCCAGGGTCGCGTGGCTGATGGGATCTGGGCCGTCTGACCGGCGCCCAGGCTGAGGGTCTGCCGCCCACCAAGGGCCTCCGACGGAGGGAGGCCAGGCGGCCCCTGGGGACCAAGAGACCCGCACCTGCCCTGCAGGTCACCCAGGGGCCGGCATTGACTTAAATAAACCCGGAACCCACCGCCTCCAGCAGGCACGGCAGACTCAGGCTCCCACAGCCCGATCAACGAGGTGGAAGTGGATGTGGCCACAAAAAACAAAAGCTTCAGTTTTCATAGAAACGGAGGTTTAGTTCATTAGAGACCTGCTGAATACAAAGGGCTGAGCTAAACGAGTCATCGTTAACATAAAATAATAGAACATTTTAACAAAAAATTAATATTGTTTTCTTGAACACTCACTTACCAGACACTGAATAACTGCACAAATTAATAAGCGTGACGCAAATAAACCTATTTTTCTTGTTCTCCAAAAGCGAAATATTTCCTGTTGCGCACACCAAACAAGTCAGTGCAGGACGAATGACGAGGTCATCGGCTGCTAAGATACTCGCTGCTGGTGTTAGTGGCAATGGTGCGCCTGCGCGTATGGCCCGTAAGGGAAATGAGTGCCACATGATGACAGTCATCAGTCATCAGCGAACGTTGTAGTTGGTTATTAATAATTATGTGTAACAGGATGTTGTAAAAATTAAGTTACAAAATTTTTATTAAAATGTTTCCTACAAACTGTTACATTGGCTGGACCGCAAAAATATTCGTTGTGGGCGCCTGGGGCCTGTGGGCCACGAGTTTGACACGCTTGCTCTACAGTGTCGACATAGCCAGTGCCAGGAGCCAATGGACGGCACACACCCAGCAGGTGCCTGAGGGCCTGGAGCCGAGCTGCTTTCCTGGGGCTCCGGCTTCTCACTGGACAGCCCCCGCCCGCACCCTTGTGACCGGGGCCAGCACCCCCAGGGACCAGCACCCTCGGAACCAGCGCCCTCAGGGACCCCCGTGGAAGAGGGAGAACTCGGACACGCGTGGAGTGGGCACCAGGGGTGGGTCACCAGGCAGCACCGGGATGCCAATCCTGTGGCAGGAGCAGCTTCTGACGGGAGCCCTGGGCGGGCAGAGCATTGCCATGGCAGACTCCGGTTGTGCACAGCCCTGAGGTAGGCGCTGTGATGGTCCCCACTGGATGAGGGTGTGCGTGTCTCGTCATTCCAGGGACGGCGACGGGAAAAACACATCTTCGCCTCCAGGACACGCGTGCCTGGCGTGTGGCTGGTGGTGCCAGGCCCGGCTGCTCTGTGGAGCACAGTGGTGTCTCGACTAGAGGGGCGCGGAAACCTCCTCTGTGGGGTGCGGCTACAGTGTTTTGCACAGATTCAAGCCTTGCACTGAGGAGAGGGCACAGTCCTCTCATTGCCACGTGCAAGTCCCAGCTGGAGGGCAGGGCCCCCCCAGCACAATCACAGCCAACGGCTATAGTTGTGAGCTTGAACCTGTGGTCCGAACACGTGGCCCCACGTGCCTGTGTGATAGAGTTCAGGTGCACGTAGTGGAGCGAGGTTGAAACCCACGAGAATGCTGTAAACAACGTGATCACGCCCCTGCTTTGCCTCGTGGCATCTGCTATAAAATAAAGACACGGCTGTGGGCGCGGGCGCTGTCTCTCTCCATCAGGGAGCAGCGTGTCCCCCCCCCCCCCGCCCCCCCCCCAGGATCACCCTTGGCTGGGCTGGCGCGGCACACTCCTCCCTCCGGGGAGAGATTGCTTCTTAACTGTAGCCGTCCTGCTGAGGACAATCGTAGGCGGCACCCGTGTCGCCCTTCGTGCTGTGTCTAACAGGACCCGACCCGCTGAACCTGGTGTCGTTGCTGTAGACGTGGCGCCGGGTGAGGCCCTGGGTCGCGTCTGTGCCTCCTCGTTACCCTGTAAACGCCCCGATCTGGGCTCTCTGCTTCCCCCTCCAAGTGCCTCGCTTCTCTCCTCTGCTGTGGGCGCGCGCGGAGCCTGGTTTGAAGGTTTTCTGAATGATGAGCGGTTTCTCTCGGATAAAGCGAGGCTTCGTGAAGGCTGCTGTCACTCAGAGTCTTTCTTTGATCCCCAGGTTGGTGGCCATGTTCCAGGTGTCCACGTCGCTGGAGGCGTGACCTGCATCGCACCTGGTGAGTGGTTTACCCGCATGCGTGCCGGGGGCGCCGGGCTCTGCCGTACGTGTGCCTGGCCACGCAGTCGCTGATCCTCTCGCCCTGGACCTGACCTGGTGTTCGCTGCTTCCCATCCCTCATTCTCTGCACGGCCTCCCTCACGGGTGTGTTCGAAACAGCGAGCTTCTGCGGGACCCAAACCGCCCAGGTCGTCTGCTTGAGGGGCATTGTGGGGAGAGGCTGTGGCGGAAGCCAGGTTCTCAGGGAGCATTTTAGTCTGACTCTGAAAAGACAGGGATTGTTTTTGAACAGCACAGGACTATGAGCCCATGTGAAAATGAACAACAGTTTACTTCTTACCGTCACTATTATGCTCCGATTTCCGTGACCGTCTCAGAAATCACTTTCCATGATGAGTTAAGAGCACTCGGGGTGACCAGAGGGTTTAACCGGGGCCCACACCCTGTACTCGTGGGTTCCCCTCCCGCGGCTCTGCTGGGAGGCGGGCGCCCTCCCTCATTCTCTCCTGCACGGCGTTGGGTCCTGTGGGTCCCCACACGGAGATTGTGCTGCCAACGTCCTTGTGCTGTTGAACATGTTTCATTGTCCCCAAAAGTTCCTGTCACCTCAAGGCTGGATCAGGCTCAGGTTTAGTTTGTTGGTGAAAAATACTTCATATGCCCGGCCGGTGTGGCTCAGTGGTTGGGCGTTGACTGGGAAGGTGAGGGGGTCCCAGCCGTGGTCTCTGATGGACCGGGAAGGTGAGGGGGTCCAAGCTGTGGTCTCTGATGGACCAGGAGCTGGTGAGGGGGTCCCAGCTGTGGTCTCTATGGACCGGGAAGGTGAGGGGGTCCAAGCTGTGGTCTCTGATGGACCGGGAAGGTGAGGGGGTCCAAGCTGTGGTCTCTGATGGACCAGGAAGGTGAGGGGGTCCAAGCTGTGGTCTCTGATGGACCAGGAAGGTGAGGGGGTCCAAGCTGTGGTCTCTGATGGACCGGGAAGGTGTGGGGGTCCAAGCTGTGGTCTCTGATGGACCGGGAAGGTGTGGGGGGTCCAAGCTGTGGTCTCTGATGGACCGGGAAGGTGTGGGGGGTCCAAGCTGTGGTCTCTGATGGACCGGGAAGGTGTGGGGGTACCAGCCGTGGTCTCTGATGGACCGGGAAGGTGAGGGGGTCCAAGTTGTGGTCTCTGATGGACCGGGAAGGTGTGGGGGTCCAAGCTGTGGTCTCTGATGGACCGGGAAGGTGAGGGGGTCCAAGTTGTGGTCTCTGATGGACCGGGAAGGTAAGGGGGTCCAAGTTGTGGTCTCTGATGGACCGGGAAGGTGTGGGGGTCCAAGCTGTGGTCTCTGATGGACCGGGAAGGTGTGGGGGTCCAAGCTGTGGTCTCTGATGGACCGGGAAGGTGTGGGGGGTCCAAGCTGTGGTCTCTGATGGACCGGGAAGGTGTGGGGGGTCCCAGCTGTGTCTCTGCCGGCTGTGCTTGCTCGTGTCTCCCATCCTCCCAGCGCTCCGAGCCCAGGGCCCCGGCTTCCGGCCGCAGCCTCCGTGGGCAGGGACGATGGGGCCGCGGAGGAAAAGCAGCGCTTGTGTCGCACCCTCTCACCCCAGCGGGGCCACCGACATAGGCTCTTTATGGCTAAATGTTGGCTGTCAGACTCCAGCTCACCTGGCTGTTGGAGCTCACCGAGCCCGACCGGTTCCGAGCTGTGTGGTCCTTGCAGAAGTTTGCGTCTGTCTTTTTTTTTTTTAACGTTTTTATGGATTTTAGAGAGAGGAAGGGAGAGAGATACGAACACCAACGATGAGAGAGAAGCTTCCGTCGGCTGCCTCCTGCACGCCCCCTCCCGGGGATCGCCCGCACCCTGGGCCAGTGCCCCGACCTGCGACCTCCGGGTGCGCGGATGATGCCACCCCGAGCCGCCCGCCGGCTGGCCTTTCTCGCGCGTGCGTCCAGCTCCGGAACCGGTGAGCTGGCCTCGGGGCCGCGTGCAGCAGGGCTCCTGATAGCAGCATTAGGTACCGGCACCGACCATTTAAATCAGGTGCAGATTAAAGAAAGTGTTTTTATTAGAAAAATTAAAAAGCCAGGCAGATTGGCAGGGCGGGTGGTGGGGGAGGGGGCATTCGCCCTTAGCTCTGCGTGGAGGACGCTGTGCGAGGGTCAGGTCCTGCCTTAAAGGGCCAGCGCACGGAGCAGGATGCCCGCGGCCCCGAGGCCAGGTCTGCCAGGCGCTCGGGCCCTTGTCTGTGGGAAAGGGGTGCCTCCCGCCTCCCTTGTTGCCCGGTCTGGGCAGCTGGCACTGCCAGTGGCTCACGGCTTCTCGCCGGGCATCCGGCAGGCTGTGACCCACGCCCCCTCCCGCTGTCCTTGCTCCCGGGCCCGAAGCTGTGAGGTGGGGGGTGAGAGTCCGCTTTCCGCGTCTCGGGCAGGGCTCCCGGGTGCCCTGGCCGGTGGGGCTCAGTGGGCGGCGCGTTGGCTTGCGGACTGAAGGGTCCCGGGTTCGATGCCGGCCAAGGGCATGGACCTCGGTTTCGGGCTTGATCCCGGGGCCTAGTTGGGAGCCTGGGGGAGGCAACCAATCCGTGTCTCTCTCCTCTTTCTGTCTCTCCCCCTCCCTTCACTCTGAGTGTTGATGGAGAAGTGCCCTCAGGCGAGGATTAACAGCAACAGCAACCAAAAGCCCTCCTAGGTGTCTGGGACGGAAGTCGGCATTGGACGCATTAGTTCCCTGAAACACGGCTGACCCCGGGCCGTGGGGGGTTCCTCCAGCCCCACCCGTGCTCTCCTCCCGGCCTGTGTGGCAGGTCCCCCCTCCCCCGTGGACTCTCCCCCCACCAGCCTCCTCGGCCCCCGCCCCCCTGTGGCCTGCCCTGCCCGGTCTCAGCAGAGAATCTCGCTCAGTTACCCCCCATCCTGATGTCTGATCAAGTCCCGCGCCCTCACCTTCGGTGTGGGAGTCCGTGGCCTGCCTCCCCCCACCCTGTTAGGCCTTCGGCCGGCACGCCCCTCCCGGCGTCTCCTCTCAGCAGCGTTTCACCCGCTGGCCCCGTCCCCCTGCTCCTTGCCTGCCGTTCCCGCCCGTCCTTGTGTTCAGGTGGACGTGGATCTCTCCCCGTCGCAATCGTCCTGAGTGAAATCTTCCTTGCCGTTTAACAAGCGTCAATAATTCTCTCTTTAATAACTAGAGGTTCTCCCTGGATATTCCAGGGTGGGACCCTGTGCACCAGCTCGGAAAGGCTAATTCCTGAAACAAAACCCAGAATTGCAGCGGCTTTCACCCCACGGAAATGCATTCCTGGACCAGGTGTCGTTCTCTCTGTGTGGCGGTTCCGGGGCCCGGACTCCCTCTGTATTGTGGCTCCTCCATCTCCGTGTGTCTCACACGCACACCCCGTTCCTCAGGTCGAGCTGTGGGAGGGGAGCGCGCAAAGCCTGTGGGGAGGACGCAGCTCTTCGCTCACGTCCCGTCGGCCAGAGTCCAGCCGCACCGTCACTCCCGCCGTGAAGGAGGCTAGGAACTGTCGGCCGGGGAAGAGGGGGTGGGTTTGTGGAACAGACGGGTGCACCTGTCAGTCTGAGGCAGGCCGCGCCCCGAGACGCTGTAGTGACGGCTGCCAAGTGTCTCCGGTCCTGACGGCCGGGACCCCCGCGTGGGGGGACTCTCACTCAGGAGAGAGCCAGCGGTCCCCCCAGTGGAAGAGAGTCGCACAGTCACGGCCACGGGGGATCTCTGCCTGGGCGCCAGGTGTGTCCGCGCTTGCCGGCCTGTCCGACCAGCTGGTGAAACGGTCCCGTCCCCTCTCCCCAGGCCCCACCGTCCTGTGGCTGGGACTCGCCTGCCGTGGGATCGAGGAGACGCCTGTGGCCGCGGCCGCGGTGCAGTGCGGGGAGCACGGGAACACGGGAACACACGTGCGTCCCTGGACAAGGAGCGACAGTGGGTGGGTGGTTTTTCCCTTTAAACTCATTGAAGGCACGGGGTCCCCTCCCCCCTGTGCTCAGACCGCTGGCCTGGGACACGCAGCCTCCACCACACGTGCTCTGGGCGTGGGCGGTCGTGTTGTGGTGACAGAGGCCAAGGATTCGGGTTTGTTTTGTGTCGGGAGTTGCCTAGAGGCAGACGCAGGTGGGGTAGGGGCAGCTCGCCAGCCCTCACACCTGGGACCTGCTTCTCCCGTCTGGATTCCTGCCACTTTCTCACCCCGCCCCCCCGCCCCCCCCCCCCCCCCCGACTGCGAAGGGCCTGTCTGGGTGGGGAGGGCCCCTCCTAGCAGGAGGGCGATTTATAAACTGAAGAGAGAGCGAGAGAGAAACATCAGTGATGGGAGAGAATCACGGTCCGGCTGCCTCCTGCCCGCCCCACTGGGGATGAGCCCGCAGCCCGGCCTGTGCCCTGACGGGAATGGAGCCCTGACCTCCTGGCTCCTAGGCCGACGCCCACCCCTGAGCCAGGCCAGTGGGGCCTGGTTAGTTGTGGGTTTGCAGGTGGAAGGAGATGCTCACGGTTGGCTGAGCCCCACAGTTGACCCCTCCTGGGAGGGAGCCTTCCTGCCCCGTGGCCCCGAGGGACCTGCTCCCCACACGGCCTTTGTGGGAAGCCCTGAGCCTCCTCTTTCTGTCTGTGGGGCCTTCTCCTCCTCTGGGCCCCGTGTTCCCCCACCCCCTCCCTCCCTCAGTCCCTACCCCCTCCCCCTTCCTCCCCCCTCCTCCCTTAGTCCCTACCCCCTCCCTCCCTCGGCGCCTGGCCTGGCCTGTGCTTGGAGGTGACCTTCCCGGTGCCTCCTGCTGGCGGCCGGGCCGAGGCAGTGACCTGGGATCCCCTCCGTCTGCTGGTGGCGCCCGCAACGTCTGTCCTGCTGGTGTCGCTTTCCGACATGGACTTGACAGCTCTCCTGGGAGCCCTCGCTGGGCCTGAGGCGGGGGCGGGGGGGGGGGGGCGGGGGCGGGGGGTCTCTCCAACATGCTCTCGCCAACGTGGGCCGGACACCTGTCCCCCTCCGTCCATCTGTCTGTCCGCCCGTCCGCCCATCCGCAGTGACTCACTCAGCTCTCCGTGCCCTCTGGGTCCCTCGCCTCTGGGACCCTCCCCTCTGGGACCCTCGCCTCTGAGAACCTCATCCCTGGGACCCTCCCCTCTGGGACCCTCCCCGTGGGCTTTGGGGGGAAAGGACGGTCTCTGTAAGTCTGGTGGAACCGTGTGAGCCGACGGTGCACACGCTGCAGACTCGCTGGACGGCCCGCTGCGCCTCCCCCTCGCCCGGACCCCCTCCTGCCCCTGGCTGCCCAGGAGACCATGCGCGGAGGGGACCTTCGCCCCGGCCCCTCCATCCTGCGTCCAGTGTTCCACAGAAAGCGCGTCCGGCCATTCCTGGGGCGTTTTCTCTGTGGTTCTGGGGGCCGATCCCTGCTCGCTCGGGTGAGGCCCCTGGTGTGGGTGCCATGCCGACTCCCCTGCAGGCCTCGCCTCCCCGTCCTGCGTGCAGTCCCTGCGCCCCCCCACCCCCGGGGTCGCCTGCGGATTCCCGATGCTGACCCCCTGCAGCGCCGTCACCCCAGCTGGTGGTGTGGAAGGGGGTGCGGAGCCCTGAGGCGGGGTGCCCGCCGTGTCCCTTTGTGTGTCCTTTGCCCGGGCTGCCCCGAACCGAGCCCAGACCTGGTCGGAGGAGGCGCAGCTGTGAGGAGGGATGGCGGCCAGGAGGGCGCGTCTCGCCGTGTCTAGTTGATTGGCGGAAGCGGAGGACGGTCCCTTTCTCAGGGACACAGGTGGGGGCTGTGGCCGAGTCCACGGTGAAACGCACTAGAGACACATGAGAGCCCCGGCTGGTGCGGCTCAGTGGTTGGAACGTAGCCCGTGCACAGAAGGGGGTTGACTTCGGTCACAGGCACGTACCTGGGTTGCAGGTTCGATCCCCAACCCCGGTCAGGGCGTGTGCAGGAGGCAACCGGTTGCTGTGTCTGTCACGTGGATGTTTCTCTGTCTCCCCCTCCCTCTCTCCCTTCCCCCGCCCTCTCTTCCTCCCTTCCTTCCACTCTCTCTAAAAATCAGTTGGAAGGGTATCCTGGGGTGAGGATTAACCACAACCACAACCACAAAAGATACACATTAGAGTGTGAGGGGAGGCCGTCCCAGCCCGACACACGTGTCTCCGCGACGGGAACACGGTCACCCGGCTTCTTGGGAGGAGCAGGCGACGCGCCCTCCCCGCCTCCCCGCCCTGCGGCAGCCACGCTTCCAGTCGGCTCCGGGGACGGGCCTGGCCGGGAGGGCCGGCGGCCCAGGTGGAGGTGAGAGCTGGGGCCCCTGTGCCTCTGAGCACCAGGTCGGACCGTGGAACCTGCATCCACCCAGAGAGACGTGGGCCGTCGCTGGGGTGCAGGTGACAGCCCGGGAGACACCCGAGGGGAGACGCCAGAGCGACGGGGAGGAGAGAGCCGAGTGCCTGCGGGTGGGTGAGGGCGTGGAGGGGGAGCCACGTGTCAGAGGCATCGTCGGACCAGCACCCGGTGCCTCCGAGGGGCCGTGGCAGGGACAGTGCTGGTCTCCCTCCGTCGGGGGCGTCAGGATCCGCTGGGGAGGCTGGAGGCCCTCAGGGACTCGTGGGTTTTCCGTGGGGGGCCTGCGTCTGTAACTCGTCCCGGTGCTGCTAACGCTGCGTCTGGGTCCTCGGACCTCGGGCGAGAGAGAAACCCTTCTCGTCGGCGAAGTGACACGGAGCGAAGAAACGATTCCAAGGTGGAAACGAGACCGTGGCGTAGTCACGGCTGCCTGGCCCCGTGCGGGTGGCGGCCGGTGCTGGTTCTGGGCCGGGTCAGCGGGCGGAGCAGGAGCGCCAGCTGGGCTGGATCGAGTGCCGGCCTCCTGCGCGTGGGTCGCGCCCTGTGCGGGAGGCGTGGGCTGCGCGGCTCGTGCTGGTCTGGCCGTCGGGCCGACTCCGTGCAGCCCCGGGAACGTCTCCGTAAAGAAGGTGGTTCGGCCGCAGGCTTCCCTCAGCCACTGGGTGTCAGGGACCTGCCCTGAGGCGACACGGTCTCTTTTTAAAGGTTTGTTATTTCTGATCATAACTGATACTTGATACAATACTTTGGTCACAGATGTTCCGATCACTAAAGTATAAACGAAAGCACGCCAGACGCACGTCATGGACAGGATGGCGACACTGTAAAGCTGTCCGGAAGGTTCCGGAACGACCTGGACATAAATGCCAAGGCCTGGCAGAGCCGGCCAGCCCTGGTGGACCTTTCTTACCCAGGTGTCCGTTCTCCCCTCATTGCCGAGGTGCTGATAGGGTTGGGGACCCAGGCACGCCTGGGGGTCCCTTAGAGCTGCATCTCTGTGCCAGGCCTGGGGCCCCGGCACGGCCCTGAGCCTGGGCCCCACCGTCTGTGAACCCCCTGCTGGTGCGTGAGCCCCTCCCGCCCTGGAGCCCAGCCGCCAGCAGGAGGCAGAACGAGTAACACGGAGCCGCCCGGGATTTCGGCGGCGTTTCCGTCTGCTTCGCGCTTAGGGCCTCGGAGTCGGTTTGTGAGACTGGCTTGGCCGCCACGCACCGGCTCCCTGGGCGACGGCGGCATCTCAGGACCCACGACCCTCTTCTCAGACCCGCGCTGTGCGGCCCCGTCTGCGGGTGGCCCCTTGGCCCTTCCTGGGAGCCCCCGTGGGTGCGGCGCCTCTGCCGGTGGTTTCGTGTCGGAGTCGCTGGGGCGGGAGTCACGGGGCGGCTGCGTCTCAGAATTACCTGCAGAACCGGACAGACGCGTCGGGCGCTGCTCGGAGAGACGCGTTCCTGGGAGGTGGTTGATGTCTCCGGGGGAAAGGGGAGCGGGAGGAGGGCCGCGCACACCCCTGCCTCCACATCCGGTCTCGGCTTCACCCCACGGCCCGCGGTCCTGCCCGCAGCGCGGCTCCGGCTGCAGGAGGCAGCGGGAGGGGGTGGGCCTCTGCCCCGCGCTGCCACGTGCGGGTTCTCCCAGGGACGCCCGCGTTTCCTCTCATCTCGGAAAGGGGACCCCGGAGCCCCATAAACGTCTCCTGGACTCATCACAACCACAGACGGCGGTTTATTGCATCCCCATTAATGACAGACAACAAAGTTTATTACGGCAACTAATAATAATAACAACAATAAACCGCGCTTTAAGGGGCCGGGCACGTGGCCGGTACCCTCGGAGCCCTCGGTGTGTGCGCGTCACCTTCCTCCCGTCCGCAGGGAACCTGTGAGGCTGGTGGTGTCAGCGACCTGCCCGAGGTCAGGGGGGAGGGGGGTCGGGGAGATGCTGGGGACTCGATCCCTCCGGCTGCACGTCCGTGGTTCTCTCTCTCTTTCTTAAAGAATATTTGTATTTTTCTGACTTCAGAGGAGAAGTGGCTGTGAGGTGCCGGCCCCCCGTTTCCCAGGACCCCTGTGGGCTGTCGCCTGGCCTTCTCGCTTCATCTGCGGCTCCTCAGAGTCCCAGCCTCACAGGCTGCCTCTGGCTTTGGGGACAAGGCTGCTCTGTCCAACACACACAGGCTCCCTTTAGCAAACAGTCTGGTCTCTGAGCCTCTCAATTCCAGATTTAAAAAAAAAAAGTTTTTTATTGATTTCAGAGAGGAAGGGAGAGGGAGAGAAAAAACATCAGTGATGAGAGAGAGTCATGGATCGGCTGTCTCCTGCACGCCCCACGCTGGGGATCGAACCCGCAACCGGGGCCTGTGCCCTTGACCAGAATCGAACTGTGACCTCCTGGCTCATAGGTCAACGCTCAACCACTGAGCCACACCAGCCGGGCTCAACTCCCGATTTTTAAGTGAGAGTCTGCATGGCTGGATCGAGTCCCGAGTGGACGCCGCCTGCCCGCTGGCTGGGGTGGAGAGGCCGGTGTCTGGGAAGTGGGTGATCGCGTGGCGGCCGCATCCCAGTCCGGGAACAGTTCGCCGCTGTTGGCGTTGGCTCTGGGTTGGGTAGGAAAGTAGGCGGCTCCTCTCGGGCCTGGCTCCTCTTGGGCCTCCTCGGCCCGCTGCTCCCAGTCCGAATTCCAGGTCCGGCCGAGGGGCGGGGAGGGGGTGCCCGCGGCCGCAGTCTGCTCGCCCGGTGAAGCGCTGGCTGCCGAGATCAGCGAAGCAGAGGGCGGTGGAGACTGACGGCCCCAGTCAGCGTGCCTGGTGCCGCCGGGCCTGGAGTTAGGTGAGCGCCTCTGGACGTACCTTTCCTGGGCACTCGCTGGCTTTTGGGTTCTTACCTGTGACCTAAACACCAGTTCCGTCTCTGCCCTGGCCGGGGCGGCTCAGTTGGGCGGTGTCCTGTGCATGGGGGTTGCTAGTCCTCTTCCGGGTCAGGACACGGGCCCAGGTTGTGGGCTCGACCCTCGGGGGAGGGAGGGGAGGGGAGGGGGGCGTGCAAGAGGCAGCTGATGGATGTTGTGCGCTCACATCAACGTTTCTCTCTCTCTCCCTCTCCCTTCCTCTCTCTCTAAAAACCAATTTAAAAAAATCTTAGGAGAAACAAACAGCCTTTTCCCGTTGGCCCGTGTCACTTGGTCACATGCATGAGGCTCCTGCATGTGTTTCGTGGTTGACAGCCCACTTCCTTCTGGTGCTGCGTCGTATTCCACTGTCGGGAGGCACCACGGTCTGCTCACCCAGCGCCCGCGGAAGGGCAGCTCCGTGGCTCCCAGGGTTGGGCAGCGACGAGTTGCTGCTGCAGACATCCGTGCGGATGTGACAGACACACGTGACCTACGTGTGTGGGCATACAGCTGTGGTTAATGAAGTTTTCGTTTAATGACGATACAAACGTGCTCAGTTATATAATGTTTGAAAGATGTAAAGAAGAAATCACTTAAACATTCAGTTCAAGGCCAGTTTTGAATGTAACGTGATAAAACGTGACATTGGAGCGGCCCTGGCCAGCGTAGGCGTGTGGTGCTGATGTATTTGAGCGGCTGGTGGTGAGGTCGGGGGCGATGCCGGCCACATGCTGGCTCTGTCTCCGCTCAGATTGCTTCTTACGTGGCTTTTTGTGATCATCAGCCTCCAGCAGACTCCGCCGGCCTGGAGGGGCTCCCCGGGGTCTCCCACCCGCCGACCCCGCGGGGCCCTGACCTTCATCCCCGAAAGCCAGGCAGCCCTGGCGGGGGCTCGCTGGTCACCCCGGACACAGAGGTTGCGTTGGGAGGCGACCAGTTGATGTTTCTCTCTCTCTCTCTCTCTCTCTCTCTCTCTCTCTCTCCATTGCTCGCTCTAAAAACCAATAAGCACGGAGGGACCTGGAGAGCATTATGCTGAGTAAAATAAGCCAGTCAGAGGAAGACAAGTGTCACATGACCTCACTCACAGGTGGGATCTAATGAGCCAAATAAACTGATGAACAAAAATGGACCCACAGACATAGAAGCTGAACCGACTGTTGAACCTCAGAGGGAAGGCGGGGGTGTGGGTGGTGGGAAGAGATCAACCAATGAACTTGTGTGCATGTATGCATCACCCATGGACACGTGCAATGGGGTGGTGCGGGCCGGGGGTGGCCTGGGGGGTGGGCAGGCTGGAAGAGGTTAATGGGGGGGAAGGACCTATGTCATACTTTCAACAATAAGGACTAAAAAAAAGGTAATAAAAATAAAAACCACAGTGTATCCTTGGGTGAGGCTAAGAACCCAGACAGGCGTTAATCTGCTGGTGGAGGGGACCCCGTCATTCGTGGAACCGGGGGCCCGACGCCCAGGACTTGATGCCGATGGGCCCGCTGTGGGCTTGGGGCGCCTCTGGGAGGAGGGGCTCGGGGAGAACCTGACAGGCAGCCCCGCGTGGACCAAGGTCGGGGGGGCGCCCGCTCTCCACGGCTCATGGTCACCACGGCAAGCAGCGGACTCACCCTCACACGGCCTTTCCTCGGTTTCTGTGAGTGGCCGTGCACGCCTGGCGGCTTTTTAAATGTAAAGACCCGTTGTCTCTGTGGAAGAAAGCCGGTTTGGGCCAGAGGACAAATGAAGGCTCATCCAGGCCCGTGGCCGCCTCGCCAGCCGGTCCGCGAGGTCCGCGAGGCTGGCGACCCCGACCCCGTCGGTGTGTAAATGTGTAAAAGGCTGTAACTCAGCCAGCAAACTGCAGGCCGAACAGGTCAGTCTCCTGGCTGGAGTCCACTTCCATACCCACCTGGAGGCCTGACCCAGAGCCAAGGAGAGGCCTCACAGGGGTCCCGGGCAGGTGGCCACCCAGCCGGGCGCCATGGACGCCGACCTACACCCGCCGCTCCAGCCGCGGACCCACTGGTGTCTGCCCTTGGAGGGCAAGGCTTCCCGTAGTCCCGTGGGACAGACAGAGCCCTGCGAGGGCCTGGGCCTGGGCCTGGGCCTGGGCCTGGGCCAGGGCGGGTCTGGGAGCGCGGGGCTGGCCTCTGGGTGGGGACCTCAGTCTCCTGCGAAGGGCGTGGCCGGTGGGCGCCGGGGAGGCCCTCTGATGGGCGGCCCAGGTCAGGGGCCCTTCCTCCCTGGGAATCGGACGGTTCTGGAAAAAGGATGCTAGTTCCTTTGCTACCAGGGTTCCTAAGCTTTGGTTTTGATCTGCAAGTTCGCTTGTACTTTGACTTTCGGAAAGGACCATGGGAAGCATCTGGGCTGGGCGCTGGGAGCCAGCAGCAGGCGGAAGAAGGGTGTTTTTTATTTTTTATTTTTATATTTTGTTGATTTTTTACAGAGAGGAAGGGAGAGGGATAGAGAGTTAGAAACATCGATGAGAGAGAAACATCGATCAGCTGCCTCCTGCACACCCTCTACTGGGATGTGCCCGCAACCAAGGTAGGTGCCCTTGATCGGAATCGAACCTGGGACCCTTTGGTCCGCAGGCCGACGCTCTATCCACTGAGCCACACCAGTCAGGGCGACAGTGTATTCTTTTATGTCTTTACTGAGCTGCAGAGCGGTCTGACAGTCAGCGGTCGGAGAAGTTGAAATTGGGGGTCTCATGGCTGAGGTTGGCTTTTGTGACCTGGTCACATCCTTTCTCGGCTGTTCTCTTCCTCCCGCCCTGAGGGAGGCGGGGGAGCCTGTCCTCATGCTCCATGTCCCCTGTGGTTGCAGGTGGTGCGTGGGGAGCTTCCTGCTGTTCGTGTAGACACTCCGGGCGTGGCTGGGTGGCCCCCGAGCAGCAGAGGCCTTGCACGGGGGTGGGCTGCCGAGTCGCCCCCCTCCCTCTGCCATCTCTGACTCAGGAATTCCCACGGGTCCGCGGAACCTCCGTGCACAGTGCTCGGGGTCTGGCTGGTGTTCTGATTGTTCCGCAGCGGCTCGGGCCATTGCGCAGGTGTGCGCGTTGGTTCTGTGGTCAGTGTCCCGTCTGCAGGGCCTGTGTGTCCATCGAGTTAGTGTGGGAGTGTGCTCTCTGCCAGGGACCTGCTTAGCCGCGCGCATGAATTACTTCTTCCACTTCTCACCACTGCCTGGCGGGGCTCTGTTATTTTCCTCCTTTGACATAAAGGGAAACTGAGGCTGGGGCAGGTCTGAGTGAGTGTGCACTGTGCGTGGTGGCGCCAGGACTCAAATCTAGTTCTGGTTCCCAGCCCCCGTCCTGAGCAAATGGCGTCACGGTAAGTTGTGTTGAATTAGGTGTGTGACTGCGCCATGAACATCGCATATGTGTTTAACGTAGGATTTTGACCGACATCTTGATGAACTAGAAAGACTAGGGGACCAAGCACTTTTCTTTGTATCATGACTAGTGATGGAATTTATTATCTTCCAATAGACTTTTAATAAAAAAATTTTAAAATATTTTTATTGATTTTAGAGAGGAAGGGAGAGGGAGAGACAGAGAGAAACATCAGTGTGAGAGAGAATCATGGATTGGCTGCCTCCTGCACACCCTTTACTGGGAATCGAGCCCACAACCCGGGCATGTGCCCTGACCAGGAATCGAACTGTGACCTCCTGGCTCATAGGTCAAAGCTCAACCACTGAGCCACACCAGCCATGCTAGACTTTTTCTCTTAAATCACTCAGTGAGCTGTAATTCCCATGGCATATGATTCATCTACTTAAAGTGCACACGTCAACAGTGTTTAGAATATTCGGAGCTTTGCAACCATCCCCATAATCCGGTTTATCACAGAAGAAAGTCTGTGTCCATTACGGGTCCCTCCTCATATCCCTCCAACTCTCCCACCTCATCCTCACCCTCGGGCAGCCATTAGCCCGTTTGTCTCTGGGTTTGCCTGTTCTGGACAATTCATGTGAGTGGAGTCATGCAGTGCTGGGCCTGTGTGACGGCTTCCTTTCTCTGACAACAGTGTGTTCAGGTCGTGGTTTGTGTCCGTACCTCATCCCTTCCTCGCCGGACGCTCTTGGTGGCGCGGGGATAGCGTCCTGTGTCCACCCGTCCATCAGCTGAGGGGCGTTGGGTTCTTTCTGCTCTTTTGCTCTTACAGACCGTACTGCTATCCAGCAGTTCTCAACCTGTGGGTCGCGACCCCTTTGGCGGGCGAACGACCTTTCACAGGGGTCGCCTAAGACCATCCTGCATATCAGATATTTACATGACGATTCATCACAGTAGCAACATGACAGTGATGAAGTAGCAACGGAAATAATTTTATGGTTGGGTCACCACATGAGGAACTGTATTAAAGGGCCGGAAGGTTGAGAACCACTGTGCTCTGACACACTCACGTGCAGCGCTCGTGTGCACAGCGTTGTCATTTTCCCAGGAAGGACCTTGCCGGGGCCCGCGGTCGCTCTGGGTTTACTGTCTGAGGAACTGGAACTGCGGTGGCTGCCCCGTTCCCCATCCCACCAGTGCGCTCCGATTTCTTGACGCCCTTGCCCGTACTTGCTGCTTCCTCTGGTTGACTGCAGTCATTGTTGTGGGTGCGAAGACGTATCTTACTGTTTTTCCCTTCAAATGTGTGTTTTTCTGATTGCCGTGCGGGTGAGGACCCGCCGGGGTGGCTGCGTGCCTCGGGGCCGGGTGCCTGAGCGGCCCCCTGCTCCTGCATTTTGGTGGGAGGAGGGGTTGCTGGCGTTGGGCACGTTGGGGGGTACTGGAAAGCCAGGGAGGCGTTGTCAGGTGTGCGGTCACTAGGGAGGTGGGAGCCGCCGATTGGAGAGCTTGGGTGGGGCGCGTGGCCACAGCCGTATCTCATCCGTGGCCCGGGCTGGTCCAGTTGCTCGTTCTCACTTGTCTGCAGTTGAATGAATTAAATTTCAGAATAGCCTGGCCAGTTTGGCTCAATGGATAGAGCGTCGGCCTGCAGACCAAAGGGTCCCAGGTTCGATTCTGGTCAAAGGCACATGCCCGGGTTCCGGGCTTGATGCCCAGTGTGGGGCGTGCAGGAGGCAGCCAATCCATGATTCTCTCTCATCATTGATGCTTCTCTCTCTCTCTCTCTCCCCCTTCCTCTCTCTGAAATCAATAAAAACACACACACACATTAAAAAAATTTCAGATTCGGCTGCGGGGAGCCAGGGACGCTCACTCTGGGAAGAACGTGAGGTCCCTGGAAGTCGGATCTGAGCGAACGGGTCGCTGCCTGACCCGGCGTGAGGCTGGGCTGGAGGAACGGATGGACCCGGAGCTGGGACGGGGAACCTGGGCCCGGGAGAGTCCAGGGCCCGCGAGGGGTAGGACGTACCTGGGGAGGTAGACGGACGGACGTTCTCTGTCTCCGATGAGAAGGCACTGGCCGCACCGTGCGGGCCGTCGGTCAGGGCTCGGCCTT